TGGCAGACCTGGGTTCAAAGACCCAGAATGACACTAGGTCTAATTTCCTAAGCTCAGAGCCAGGAGTCAACTCTGAGCATCTCCCAGGGGTGGTCCCCAAATAAATGAAAATAAAGGTAAAGGTAAAGGCCCTCCCGTTGATCATCGATTTGCTCGAGCGGGCCCAGTAACGTCTCCATTGGAGACTTTGTTGTTACTGTGCCTGGCATATCGAATACTCTTGGTAGCTTGCCGGGCTCTCTGAGAGGGGCGGAGGAACCGAACTCGGGTCGGCCATGTTGGCCGCTGAAAATAATAAAAAAATAAATAAATGAAAATAAACGGACAATATTTGAATCACTCTAAAAGCTAATTTTTATCCTACATCTCCTGGACACCCTTTTTCCTTATCATTGTTTTTCTCTGTTAAACCTTTGTACTTTCAAAAACGTTTGCATTTTAATAAAAATGTGCCACTTCTTTCTTCTGAAGTATTCATATAGCATTATTAAAAAAAAAAGGTGAGGGGCTGAAGCAATAGCACAGCGGGTAGGGCGTTTGCCTTGCACGTGTCCGACCCGGGTTCGATTCCCAGCATCCCATAGGGTCCCCCAGTACCGCCAGGAGTAATTCCTGAGTGCACAACCAGGAGTAGACCCTGTGCATCGCCGGGTGTGACCCAAAAAGAAAAAAATAAAAGAGGTGAAGTCAGTTGCTTAAGCTTCAGTGTTCTCTGTAAGAGGATAAGGAAATAATAGTACTGCAAATTTGTAGGATTACTTATAGAGTAATTGTCATGAATAAGTCCGGTAGTTCACATAAAGGCTAAATGTTGTCACTTGCACATTACAAGTTCTTTAAAAATGTTAGCATTTGCTATCATTTTAATAAATTCACTGTGTTTTGAGTATCTTGCATACATCCATGGGTTTGTATACTATCAAATATTTATAAAACATTTACTATTGTGAGTAAAAAAAAGCAATGACAAGATGGAATTTAAAATTTGATATTTTTTAAATTATAAAATCTATAAAGAAAGCATGATATGATACACTTGTACACACACAGTGGAATGTTATTTAATCTTAAAATGGAAAGAAATTCTGACCCCTGCTACAACACAAGGAGACTTGATGGTCTTATACTAAAAGTCTGATATGGAGACAGATATTATAAGATTTTTAAGTATGGAAGGTGTGGAACCAGACAAATCCATAGAGACAAAGTAGAGTGGTGGTCTCCAGGCACGGGGGGAGAGAATACGGGGAGTCATTGTTTAATGGGTACAGTTTCAGTTTGGGAATGTGAAAAATTTTGGAGATGGATGGTGATAAGGGTTGTACAAAGATATAATTGTACTCAATGCTATTAATCTATGCTCTTAAAAATGGGTGAGGGACTGGAGTTATACAGCGGGTAGGGCATTTGCCTTGCACCCAGCCAACCCCGTTCGATTCCCAACATCCTATATGGTCCCCCAGCACTGCCAGGAGTAATTCCTAAGTGCAGATCCAGGAGTAACCCCTGTGCATCTCCGGGTGTGACCAAAAGAAAAAAAAAAGGAAAGAAAAGAGAACAGGGTGAAATGCAACCAGAGAGATAGTGCAACCCGTCATGCCCAGTCTCTGTATGTAAGAGGCTTGGCTTGGTCCCCGGTACCGCGTGGTCTCCAGGACTGATAGGAGTGACCATTGAGGCTGAGAGATCATACAGCAGGGAGGGCATTTGCCTTGCACGTGGCTAACACAGGTTCGATCCCTGGCCACCCCTATGATCTCCCAAGTATCACCCGCAGTGATTCCTGAGTACAGAGCCGGGAGGAAGCCTGGAGCACAGCCCAATATGGAGCCCACACATAGAAGCAAAACAAGAGTGACCCTTGAACCTGCCTCTCCAAACGCTTAAATGCTAAATTTAAGTTACGTATCTCTTACCACAGTAAAAACTGTTTGACACTTCAACAGATCAGCCTGAAAATTATACGCTATTTAATGCCACTGGACTCCATGCCAGGCTGTTTTCACTTGGGGGTTGGGGGGCCCAGAGGGGTGCGGGCGAGAGTCCTCTTTGCCCCAAGGGATCCAGCCCCGGCAGGCGACCTCCACTACCCAACGGCCACTATGCTCCAAGCCACTTTCTGGACTGACACATCATAAGACACTTTCTATCCGTTTTCCATAATTACAGCACCATGTTTGATGGAGTTCAGACAGTAGGCTACAAATCATAGAGAGAAATATATATATATGTATATATATATATATATATATATATATATATATATATATATATGAGCCCGGCAAACCGGAGGGGAAAGGGTGTTGCCCCATTCGCCCTCTCCTCTCTGGAAAGAAAGATGGCGGCCACATGGGAGCCTTGTGGACAGCAGGTATGAGCCGGGAGTGTGGGGGTGACTAAAACCTCATGGGAAGGGGGGCATTTCGGTCCGCCCTTCTCGCCCTACCGAGGCCACCGGTTGCCCCCTGCGAGCGGCTCTCCAGCACGGCCACGACTCCAGAACACAGAAACCAATTTCTTAACTATCTGACTTTCAGTAGAAATACTTCCAGGGTCAATAGGTAAAATAGCAGAAATCCAAAACCAACATTTAATTCTTGAACCCAGCTGTAGAAAGCAAATCACTTCACAATGCTTTTTCAGCATGTCTGATTTGGGGGGGGGGTAAACTCTAAATAATAGTGGTGAATCTTATTGAAACAATGAATCTAATCAAAGCAGATAGAGTGTTAACTAGAATTCATCTGCCCCACAGGGACTGGGAGGGGTGGGGGGTGGGGTTTTATTGGGGTTCTTCAGGGTAAAAAATAAGTATTGGTAAAGGGAAATGTGTTTGATATTTGCATGACTGAGACATAAACCTGAAAGCTTTGTAACCTTTCCCACAGTGATTCAATAAATAAATTAAAAAAAAAAAAAGAGCCCGGCAAACTACCGAGATTATCCCACCCGCATTAGCAGAGCCTGGCAAGCTCCCCGTGGCGTATTCGATGTGCCAAAACCAGTAACTATAACAGGTCTCATTCCTCTGACCCTGAAAGAGCCTCCAGTCGTTGGGAAAGGCGAGTAAGGAGATGCTACTAAAAATCTCAGGGCTGGGATGAATACAGACGTTACTGGCGCCTGCTCAAGTAAACTGATGAACAATGGGATGACAGTGACAGTGATACAGTGATTTAAAGTGTATCATAATGTAAAAATTAAATGCTATTAAGATGTATAAGATGAATGCATTATTTTTTCCCCTTCCAGTACAAAAATAAATGGTATGTATGGGAAAGTAAATCTTTCTTCAGCTATTCTTTTTGCTTTGTTTGGAGTCAGACCCTGTCAAACTCTGGGGCATCATGCAGGGCTTGGGACCAAACCCGGGGCCCCAAAATGGCAAAGCTGTCCTTTGAACTCTCTCCCTGCTCTCTGGGGCTGTTCTCAGAGACAACTCCACTACTAGTTACAGCACAAATCCTACTGGAAAGACAAGGTATGTATGTATATTTTATATGCATTGTACTATTATGTCATGAAACCACATAAGCAACAGATCATTAACGTAACAAAATATTTTAACAATTGAGTGATAATATTTCAATCCCTATGCTCATCACTACATCTTTATTGCTACACATATCCACTGTGTGTTATCACTTTCTTTTTAAACTCAAGGCTGTCTGGAATAGCATTAAAAGCAATTTTGATTTTTTGGGGGGCCATATCCACCGTCAGTGCTCAGGGTTTACTCCTGGCTCTGTGTTCAGGGATCACTCCTGGAGGTGTTGGGGGACCATATGTGGTGCTGGGAATGGAAGGATCCAACCTGGGTTGGACACCTGCAAGGCAGGTAAGTGCCTTACCCACTGTATTCCCGCTCCCGCCCAGCTGTATTTTCCTTAAGAGCTGCATACCTTAAATATATGGAACCAATCTTCTGCTAAGAGCCAGAAATTTTCTTGTCTTTTTCTATCACAAGTAACATTTCATTGAATAATCTGGCATAGATCCTCTCTTTTTTCCCTGTTATATTGCCTTCTTAGTACCCTGAAACCACACTAAAACAAGACATATTCTCCCTAATTGATCTTATATGACCTCTATTTCAATGGACTCCATTATAGTTCTTTATCATTTTCTAGTTCCAACACTAATGTAGCCTTTTTTTTTTTAAATTGAATCACCGTGAGATACAGTTACAAAGCTTTCACAGTTGAGTTTTAATCATACTTCCTTTTTTCTTTTCGTAAGAAAAAAATGTAATGGAATCAACAGGATTTTTGGGATCCTGGCATAATTGGATACAGCTTAGAGAGCTGGTTGAATACCTCTGGTGAAGTCCTTAAACACCCAGCTTCCTCTTTTGTAAAGTAATGATTAAAGATAGTACCCCTCCCCCAATAATTAATAAGTGCTGGACACAGTAAGATACTGAGAAGTTAGCTAATAAATAATAATAATAATAATAATGGACTGGAGCGATAGCACACCGGTAGGGTGTTTGCCTTGTGCGCAGCCAGCCTGGCTGAGCCGGGTTCAATTCCTCTGCCCTTCTTGGAGAGCCTGGCAAGCTACCGAGAGTATCTTGCTGGCACGGCAAAGCCTGGCAAGTGCCTGTGACATATTCAATATGCCAAACACAGTAACAACAAGTCTCAAAATGGAGACATTACTGGGCCGCTCGAGGAAATCGATGAACAACAGGAGGACAGTGACAGAATAATAATAATCATTAATAATAATAATGTGATTCTGAGAATTCCGAGGCCTTGGGATTTTATTTCTCCTTTTACAATAACAACAACAACAACAAACAAACTCAACAACAACTACAACCACCACAACAACCAACCACCACCACAACGACAAAACCCAAATCCCCCAACTGGCAGGCAACAAGAACCACCAGCGGCTCACGAAAGGGGAACACGCGCGCTCTCGGGCGTCTGCGGTAGTTTGGCCTCCGCGGGCCGCCGTCGCCGAGCATGCGCAGAGCAGCGCGGCGGGCCGGGAGTGTCATGGCGCGCCCCATGTGAAGCGCCCGGCGTTTCCGGAGAGGCTTCCCCGCGTCTGGGCTGGCGTGTTAGTTCCCGACTCCCGGGCCGGGGCGGCGGGTGGCGGGTGGCGGCCGAGCGGGGCTTGTTGCCCTGCTGCCAGGCTCCCCCGGACTGTGCTGGTCACTTTGCAGGGGGTGGGGGAGGAGGCGGGTAGCGGGCACTGGGCACAGGGCAGCGGGATGGTGGTGGTGGTGGGGGTCGCACTGTCCCCAGCGGGCACCGTGGGGGCTGCGGGGCTGCAGGGGGCTTTGAAGGCTCAGGCCGAGCCGCCCTCGTCTCCCGTCGTGTGCGCGCGGCTTGGTGGCGTGGGGTCCGGCTGGCGCTGACCTCGAGCTGCCCAGCTGCCCGGAGCTCTGACCCTGGACCCGGCGGGGGAAGGCGCTGGTCCGGCTTTTTAACTCCTCACCCTGCCCCCGCGGGGCGACGGGGGTCCCCGGGGTGGGGGTGGGGATGCGGGGACGCGGGGATGCGTTTGCCCACCCGTGGTCCCTCTCCAACTACCCCCCCCCCCCCAGCCTCTTTTGTAGCCTGGCATGACCCGGTGTTCCAGGTTGCATCCCAGGTGTGTCCCGAGTGATGGGGGAGTGGGGTAGGGCCCCTGCCAAGGAGGAGTTGGGCCCTGGTGGGCGCCTCCTGAACTTGGCAGAAGACCAGGCTGGTCCCTTGTGAGGCGGGTGGTTGGGGGGGGGGGGTGGTCCAAGGTGGTTTGTGAACTTGTGAGTGTGTCTTTCTTTTCTTTCTTTTTTTTTTTTTTGCTTTTCCGGTCACACCTGGCGATGCAATGCTCAGGGGTTACTCCTGGCTCTGCACTCAGGAATGACTCCTGGCAGTGCTCGGGGGACCCTGTGGGATGCTGGGAATCGAACCCTGGTCCACCCGTGCAAGGCAAATACACTACCCGCTGTGTGTCTCTTAAATACTTTTTTTTTGGTAAATTTCCAGACTCCTCAAGAGGATCAGAGACCAGTTGCAGATAATCAAGGTAGTCATTTATTTTGTTTGTTTGGTGTCACAGCCATGCTGTGCGCTTGGGGCTCCTTTTGGATTTCTGCTCAGAAGTCATCCCTGGAGGTGCTGGGGTGTGTGTGTGTGTGCGTGTGGTTGTGGGGGATAACATGGTGCCAGGGATTCCAACATGGGTCACGTGTGTGTGTGCTTGTGGTTGTGGGGGGTCGAACATGTGCTGCCAGGGATTCCAACGTGGGTCACTGGTGTATGTGTGTGTGTGTGTGTGTGTGTGTGCGTGTGTGCGTGCGCGCGCGCGCGTGTGTGCGTGTGTGTGTGTGTGTGTGTGTAGTTGTGGGGGATAACCTGGTGCCAGGGATTCCAACATGGGTCACGTGTGTGTGCTTGTGGTTGTGGGGGGTCGAACATGTGCTGCCAGGGATTCCAACGTGGGTCACTGGTGTATGTGTGTGTGTGTGCGCGCGCGCGCGTGCGTGCCTGCCTGTGTGTGTGTGTATAGTTGTGGGGGATAACGTGGTGCCAGGGATTCCAACATGGGTCACTAGGGTGTGTCTGTGTGCGTGTGTGTGTGTGTGTGTGTGTGTGGTTGGGGCGGGGGAAACGTGATGCCAGGGATTCCAACATGCTTTTCTGGGATGCAGGACAAGCGTCTTCATCCTCCTGGGTTAGCTGCACACAAGGCAGAGAGCCTAATCCCTGGTCTCTGGCTCCTTTTCCAGTGAATTGCAGGTTTTCCTGTTGCCCCTTAATTCCCCCCCCCCCCCCCCCCCCACACACACACACACAACGTGCTTATTTCTTTGGCTCTTATTAGACACCGCACTGTTTGCTTTCACCATTGAGGCTGCCAATAGTGGCCGGAGCAGTTATCAAAGTAAATGTCCTACCTTCTCTGGATTGTGGTTTTCTAAAATCAGAGGCTTAACTGTATTTCCTGCAGTCCTGACTCTGTACTCTGCACGGAGGGATTCATACTTCCCTGGCCTTGTCAGGACCCACCCCGGCTCTTTATCCCCCAAATCTACCTTCCCTTGTTTAAGTGGACAAACAGAACGCTCTCTCCATTGTGCAGCTTCTGCCTCCTGGAGGCCCCTGGTCATCTAGCACCGGGATGGGGAACAGGTCTAGCTGATTCCTCCCATCTCTCTTCTGATACTTTGTTTCCCTTCAGTGGATTCCTTAGCAATTGTATGTCAGGATATAAAGCTGTTAGTCAAACAAGTAGGCTTTAAATATGTTTACTTGGGACTGGAGTGATAATACAGCAGCACTGAGAGTGGGTGCCTTGCACAGAGGGTGACCCTGGGTTTGATTCCTTGGGTTTGATTCCCAGCATCCCATATGGTCTCCAAGCACCACCAGGAGTGATTCCTGAGTGCAGAGCCAGGAGTAACCCCCGAGCATACCTGGGTGTGACCCCCAAAACCAGAACCAAATAAATAAAATTAAATATATTTACTTATTTTGTAATCTTTTTTGGGGTATGATGATGATGATGATTATGACTTTTTTTTTTTTTTGGGCACATCAGCCGGCATTGGGGGCTACTCCCAGTACTTCCAGGTCAGTGCTCTAGGCAGATGGCCAGAACGGACCTCTCAGATTCCTTAGTAGTTGCTTGGACACCTCTCCCCCCAGGAGTTCCAATTGGATCTTGGAATGTTCCCACTGACAACAGAATTTGTCCGATCATTTCTCTTCTGTGTGTAGTCTCTAAACTTGAAATTAAATCTCCAGGCTTTAAAATCCTAGTTGGGGACTGGAGAAATAATACAGCAGGTGGGGTGTTTGCCTTGCACGCTGCTGACCCGGGTTTGATCTCTGGCACCCCGCATGGTCCTCTGAGCACCATCAAGAATGATCCCTGAGCACAGAGCCAGGAGAAACCCCTGAGCACCACAGGGTGACCTCAAAAACAAACAAAAAATTCAAGGTGGGCAAGAGTAGTTCCTAAATGAGGCGACATGGAACTTTTTCATAGGGACTCAGAGCTCTGTGGTGAGATATATATATATATATAATTTATTTTTTTGGTGATAGAAGATGCCTTCCGCATCCTGTGATAAACTCTTGCATGACATAGAAGATATCGTGACACAAGAAGATTCAAAGCCACAAGACAGACATTATGCAAGAAAGCAAGTTGTTCCAAAGGTGCGAAGGCGCAACCACGAGAAGTACACGGACGAGGAAGACAGCCCTCCAAGTGACAGGTGACCTTTTTTGAAAATTAGATGTCAGTTCATATCAGGGCAGCGGCTGCCTTTCCAGGGCTGTGGGGATGTCCATAATGTCTCTTTCAAAAGTCTTAGAACTTCTGGCTTGGAAAGACAGCTCCAGGGGGCTGGAGACATAGTACAGGGAGCAGGGTGCTTGTGTTGCATGCAGTGGACCTAGGGTTCGATCCCTAGTGCTCCATCTGAGCACTTGACAGGAATGTTTCCTGAGCACAGAGCTGGGAGTAAGTCCTGAGCATCACCATCACTGGGTATGATTCAAAACAAACAAAAGACAGCTCCGGGGAGTGCATGCTTGTAGGCATCCTGGGCTGGGTCCCCAGCACCGCCTGGCCCCTGAGCACTGCTAGGAGATACCCCAACTGTTGAGCTGGGGCTAACCCCTGAGCACCACTAGTGTGGTGTCTGCTCCCCCCCCCATATAAAAATATAAACCTTTGAGGTTTTTCTTTTTCTTTCTTTCTTTCTTTCTTTTTTTTTTTTTTTTGCTTTTTGGGTCACACCAGGGATGCTCAGGGGTTACTCCTGACTCATGCACTCAGGAATTACTCCTGGCGGTGCTTGTGGAATCATGTGGGATGCTGGAGCTTGAACCCAGGTTGTCTGCGTGCAAGGCAAACGCCCTCCCCGCTGTGCTATGGCTCTAGCCCAAACCTTTGAAGTTTTGAGAGGCAGTCTAAAGGATACAAAGTTGCATGAGGGCAGGGCCAGCTCTGTGGGCACAGTTGGCACCCTACCTTTGCCAGCCCTCAAGGATTGCTTTGCTAGTACTCTAGTCAGCCTGTCCGTCAGTGTTCCTTCCTAATTGACAATGTTGCTGGAATTTGTTGGCCTGGTTTGGTTTCTGGCCCATGTGCAGAGGTGCCCAGGGTTTTTTTTTTTGCTTTTTGGGTCACACCTGGCGATACTCAGGGGTTACTCCTGGCTCTGCACTCAGGAATTACTCCTGGCAGTGCTCAGGAGACCATATGGGATGCTGAAGATAAACCCGGGCCAGCTGTGGGCAAAGCATACGCCCTACCCACTGTGCTATCGCTCCAGCCCCCAGGGGCTGTTTGTGGCTCTGTGCTCAGGAGTGGTCCTCGGCAGTGGTCCTGGCAGACCAGAGGCGGTTCCGGCCATCGAATTGGGCTGGGCTGCATGCAAGTCAAGGACCTTCATCCCTCTAATGTCTTTCTAGGCCCCTGGCATTTGTAGTTTTCTGAGACAGTGATGTTTTGAGCATCTGATTTTTTCTTAGCAAGCTTATGAATTCTTATAAATCAGGTGGAGCCATTAGGCATAAATAAATTATTGTACTATTTGCACTATATTAGGTCTCTAGTGAAATTCTAATACAATCTAGCCAGAAAGGATTATGTTATTGTCTACTTCTAATATGCCTTTATTTGTTTATCTAGTGAATTGTTTTTAAATTTTTTTTAAATTTAATTTTTTATTTTATTTTTTTATCTAGTAAATTGCTAAAAGCTTTAGTATACTTGATTATTTTGCTTATAACATTGAGATTTAAAAATATAAAAATATTTAAATTCGCTTCTGTTTTGAAGACTGAAGATTCTCAGATTTCCTGGAGAGTGGTCTTAATGTAATTGCCATTATGAATTTAGGGCAATTCAAGTTTTTCTTCTTCTTCTTTTTTTTTTTTTTAGAATTGCCTTTATTTTTATTTATTATTTATTTATTTTTTTGCTTTTTGGGTCATACCCGGCTCTGCACCCAGGAATTACTCCTGGTGGTGCTCAGGGGACCATATGGGATGCTGGGAATCAAACCTGGGTCGGCCGTGTGCAAGGCAAATGCCCTCCCTGCTGTGCTGTTGCTCCAGCCCCAAGTTTTTCTTCTTAAAAATAATTTTCATGGGGCTGAAGTGATAGTATAGTGGCTAGGGCGCTTGCCTTGTACATGGCTGACCTGAGTTTGATCCCAGGTTTCCCATCTGGTCCTCTGGGCCCCTCAAGAGTAATTCCTGTGCCAGAGCCAAGAGTGACCCCTGAGCGTCACTGGGTGTGGCCCCAACACAGACCCAAAACCAAACCAAACCCGTCTCTCAGGTGCCCGTTTTTCATTTTGATCATTCCTTATATTAACACCTTCTGAATAAAGAGAGAATCAGTGCATTGAAGTCTGTGCATGCGTGTGACTTTTCCTTCCTTTACTGTTGTTACTTGCATGCATCGTTCTAGGATTTGCCCTGGGCACGTTAGTAGTGCTGACTTTGCAGTGCAGTCTCGTGGAAAAGGTGACCTTTCTGGTGTAGAATATTTCTGTCTGAGATGCTCGGGTTAGGGGCCTTCCCAACTGCAATTGGGGTCCCTGGGGCTGGGAATTCACTTTCCTGCCCTAGAAAGGGGGGCTCAGGCCTGTGGCAGCGAGGCAGGGATCTGCTTTGCCTGGGGAGCCCAGGGCTGCGGTCTGAACCCGCTCACTCCTGGGGTGTCATTGCAGTGAGTGGGGGGGTGTTGGCCTCGGGGTAGGGGGCTTGCAGGCGGCGAGGGCCACCATGCAGGTCTCTTGGGCCTAGACTTGGAGTGCAGAGAGGCCAGTGGGTCAGATGAAATGGGAGTGGGGGCGGCCACGGAGGGGCGTTTCCTGCCGCAGCCCCGCACGTCTACCTCTGTGTTCCCCAGCCGCCAGCTTCACTGGGACTTGGGGGGACCCATTTAACCAGCCCAGGAGATGCTTTTGTGGGGGTTCAGCATCCCGGGCTGCACGAGTTTCCCCACAGCCTGGACCCCTCAGGATTCTATGGTGGCTTCACCTTGATTTTAGACTCTCAGGGTAACAGCAGATTATGGTTTACGTTGGTGCATTTAATGAACAGTGAGTCTATGTTTTTGCATAATATGTCCGGAAATCATCCACTATTCACTTCGAAAAACCTTTCACGGGACTTAACTCTTTCTTCTCTTCTTTTCCTCCTATGACTGTTTAATAGCACAATTCCAGGGATACAGAAAATTTGGATCCGAACCTGGGGCTGTTCTCACAATAATTCAGATGGAGAGTACATGGCTGGCCAACTAGCTGCTTACGGATATAAAATAACAGGTAAGACCATCTATACCGCGTTGATGAAATTGTCGGAGAGCCGAGCGTTTTAGACCACTGCATATATTTTTTTAGTTCACTTATTTTTGGGGGACTCGCAGGCAGTGCTCAGGGGGCCCGTCAATCCCTCCCAGTGATTCATGTCCTGCTGGGCTGACTGTTCACTGTAAGGGCTCTCGGTTGCTGCGGCCCAGGCTTGGTCCTGGGGTTTCCCTGGGCCTCTGCTGCCGTGCTCAGGCCCCCCAGGACCATACCTGTAGACCTCCAGGGCTCCACTCGGTAATGCTGTGGGGACGCTGTGGTCCCAGATTCAGCCAGGTTGGCCATGTGCAAGGCAAACACGTCTCCCCTCGGGCTCTCTCTCCGGCCCAGATCTGTGTATTTTAGTTTCAGCAGTTGCGGTGTGACTAGCAGATGAATTTAAGGCGAAACACCATGAGGGCTGTTCTTCTGTTGCCTAGGTTGCTGTGGGTCCTTCAGCTTCTTCGTGCTGTTGAGGAATGAGGTTAGATTTACAGACGAGGAGTGAGATTGTCGAGTTCACATGTCTTTCTCCTGGCGTGCCCTTCTCTTAGTGTCTCACATAGCTAGAGTGTCCTCAGTAATCAATGTGGTATGGCACTACAAGCTCCTGATCTTATTGGAAATGTGCTGTTTTCCCAGTCACATCCTATTTATTTATTTATTTATTTGTTTATTTTTTGCTTTTTGTGTCACACCCGGTGATACACAGCGGTTACTCCTGGCTCTGCACTCAGGAATTACTCCTGGCGGTGCTCGGGGGACCTTATGGGATGCTGGGAATCGAACCTGGGTCGGCCGCCTGCAAGGCAAACGCCCCCCCTGCTGTGCTGTCACTCCAGCACCACATCTTTTTTACTTTTTGGTTTTTGGGTCCCACTTGGCTCTGCTCAGGGCTTACTCCGGGCTCTGCACCCAGGGATCACTCCTGATGGGCTCAGGGGACCACATGGGGGACCAGGGAATTGAACCTGCAATGAATGGCTTCATGCAAGGCAAGCGCCCTACCCGCTGTCGTTCTGGCCCCTCTCATCTTTTTTTTTGCTTTTTGGGTCACACCTGGCTATGCACAGGGGTTACTCCTGGCAGTGCTCAGGGGACCCTACGGGATACTGGGAATCGAACCTGTTTCGGCCGCCTGCAAGGCAAACGCCCTACCCGCTGTGCTATCTCTCCAGCCCCCCCTCTCATCTTTTTTCTGTTCCAGAGTATTATCTAGGTTCTCCGCTCACACTCACTTGTAATGTCTCCTTAGTTTCTTTCCAATCTGTGACAGTTGCTCAGTTTTTCCTGCATCTTCTGACCTTGGTCCCCGGGGAGGTAACCACTTAGTTCTGCTGTAGCGTGCCCCGCCACTGAGGTTTGTCCGGTCTGTCTCTTCCTGATGGGAAATGGCTCGGTTTCCTCTCGGTGGCCCATCTGGGCTCCGTGAGGACAGGGTGTCTGTTCTGTGTGCATTACCCTTTGCTTCCTCCATGCCAAGGGGCTGGTCTTCTCCCCGGGGTAATGAGCTCCTGCCTCTGCTCCACCCTGGCTCACTAATGGCGGTGTTTGATATTTCACTCTCTGCCACTGGGGCTCTTCTTCGGGTTTGTTTTGCTTTTGGACGACACCAGTTGCTCCTGAGCCTGGGGTCACTCCTGGTGGCTCTCCGGGGACCCCGCATGCGCCCCAGCCAGTGGGCCCGGTCCAGGAGAGAGCTATCCTTCCTCATGCACTTACTTCTTTCTGTCAGGAAGGACGCGGGGACCTTTTGGGGGAAGCACTCCCTTCCTGGCAGCACAAGGTGTTCTGATCAAGTGTTTCCCCTTCCGCAGCCTTGCAAACACTCCCTTGCCCCAGGGGGCCCTGATCTTTGTCCCAGGGAGGGTGATGTTTTCAGCCCGGCTGGCCCCTGGGTGCTGGGTGTGCTTGCTGCCGCTCTGAAGGGCCAGTGCTTCTCGGGATCCTGGTGGGCAGAGCTGGGGAAAGGGACGCGTGGGAACTGACCTCCACACACAGCTGTCCACTCTGTGCGTCCCTCTCCGGGCTTGAGCGGGCCTGCCACCTAGTGCTCTGTTGGCCGGCTTTGTGTCTGCTGTGGGTCGTGCCGGCAGCCCTCTCTGGCCCGGGAGGTGTCTTGTCATGTCTTCCTCAAGGTCCCCCCGGCATTGGAGCTCCCCCCGGAACCCCGGCCCTGCCCTCTGCTCCCCTCCCGGGCTGCTGGGCTCCTGGGAGCTTCTTCCTTCCTGAGCTCTGTTTGCTGCGGCAATGACCCATCAGCTGCAGACTCCGGTTTCCATTGCTTTGCCTTCTCAAAAAAGGTGTTCTTCAGGTTAAAAACACTCCCAGTTTGTCACAATCATAACCAATACAGCAAAAGCCCAAACAGATTCCTTCTCTGTTGGTTAGTAGCTTGTAGTAGAGTTAAACCTGAACCCATTCTGGTGAGAAGATTTGAATATGAAGACCTCGGTTTTTTTCTTTTTGGGTTACACCTGGTGATGCTCAGGGGTTACTTCTGACTCTGAACTCAGGATTGACTCCTGGCAGTGCTGGGGGGACCCTATGGGATGTCAGGGATCGAACCCAGGTTGGCTGCGTGCAAGGCTTAACATCCTACCAGCTGTACTATTGCTTCGGCCCCAGAAGATCTAGTTTTGAAAGATCATTTCCTAAAACATTAAAGAAAATTGGAGCCAGATATTTTAGGTGATTCTAGGTAGAGAATACATTTTAATTTACATGAGATTCATTAGTAGTTTGGGTCTTAAAATAGTACTCTCATGTAAATACTGGTTCTGATGTGTTTTATACATGAATATTAAACCCATTGTATAGATCTGATTTTGGCTTCTTCCTTGGAAATAGTAAGAATGGAGAATTAAGGCAATAGCCTCTTGTAAATAAGAATTGCTTCTTGTCCTGGTGCTGTTCAGGGTACTCTGTGGCATGCCAGGGATTGAACCCGGCTTGGCCATGTGCAGGGCAAGTGCCTTACCTGTTGTCCTATCTTTCTGGGCCTTAATCCTTCTATATAAGTTTTATCCTTAGATTAAATATTTCATATAAATGATTTCGGAATAGCCTACACCAAGCAGCCTCTTGTTATGGAATCATGAGGTTTTAAAAAATTGTTATAACTTAATAACTTACAATGTTTTATTACTCAAACATAGTCTCAAGTATTTTCCATATGATTCAATAATGGATAGGAAATAGATATATAAAATTAAGATTATGAAGTTCAGGAATGACTGAAAAATATTCTACAGAGATAGAGAAAGTTAGCTGTCAGTTATAATTTAGGAAAGAGATTATGTGAGTATTTACCTGGAATTCTTTTAAACTTGAGAATCCAGGAATATCAAAATGTTCTTGACTTTGGTTCTTGGGCCTCACCTGAAGGTGCACAGGGCTTTATTAAGGTCCTCCAGGGTGCCGAGACTCGAACCGGGGTCAGCCACATGGAGGGCAAATGCCCTGCCTGCTGTCTATGGCCTTGCCTCCAGGAATATAATTCTGTAGTAAAACCTCATAGAGGCTTTCTCAGAGTAGTTAGGACTGTTCGATGCCTTTCTGAAATTTTTTTTAATTTAAGGGGAAAGGTATTTTTGAACTTATAAAATAGCGCCTGCCTGCTTACTTCAGTTGAAATCCTTTGAGGAATAATGGCATCATTCCTTCAAACTCAGAACTGTTCACTGTGTCATGGATACCTGCTTTCATGAACAATTAATTAGTACCAGGAAAGCAGTTGAACTGTCCCTAGAGGTCCTGTGGCCTTTTAAAGAAATAGGGTTTGAACTTCGTTCTCAGTGATTCTCTCCAGGTCTGTCCAGGTAGCAACTGATCGCATGATTTTATCATTTCTTACAACCGAGTAGTATTCCATTGTGTATTTTATTTTTTTTGGCCTGGGGGATGGGGTGGTGGTGGGCACAGCGGCAGTGTGCAGGGCTTACTCCTGGCTCTGCACTCAGGCACAACTCCTGCCAGTGTTTGGGGGACCATATGGGACCCTGGGGATCGAACTTGGGTTGACTGCGTGCAAGGCAAGTGTCTTCCCCGTCATGCTATCCAGCCCCACCATTGCATATTTGCATAAGTGTTTTTAAATATAGGTTTCAAATCACCTTTATATTATCACTGTCGCTGTCACAGTCCTCCCGTTGTTCATCGATTTGCTCGAGCGGGCCCAGTAACGTCTCCATTGTGACAGTTGTTACTGTGTTTGGCATATCGAATACGTCATGGGGAGCTTGCCAGGCTTTGCCGTGTGGGCGGGATACTCTCGGTAGCTTGCTGAGCTCTCCAAGAGGGGCGGAGGAATTGGACTTGGGTTGGCCATGTTGGCCGCTTGCAAGGCAAACGCTCTACCCACTGGGCTATCGCTCTAGCCCCTTTATATTATATTATTATTATTATTTTGAGTCACACCTGACGATGCTCAGGGGTTACTCCTGGCTCTGCACTCAGGAATCACTCCTGGCAGTGCTCATGGGACCATATGGGATGCGGGGATCAAACCTGGGTCGGCCACCTGCAAAGTATCGCCTTACCCTCTGTGCGCTCTCTGGCCCCCATTGTGTATTTATATCAGTTTCTTTACCCAGTTTTCTGTTCTTGGACGTTTGGGCTGTTGTGAGCAATGCTGCACGGATTAGTGGCAATACCATTTCCGAACAGACGTGGCATTTCGGTGCCTTTAGGGTGGATGCTGTGAAGTGGAATTGCTGGGTCACGTGGGAGCACATTTCCTAGTTTTTTGAGAAGTGTCCGTATTGTTTTCCAAAAAGGCTGACACAGTCCGCGTTCCCGCCAGAGGTTTCCTGAGCGTCTCTCCCCCACCTCCATGCCAGCGCTACTTATTTTCGTTCTTTGTGATGCGTGCCAGTCTCCGGTGTGAGAGTTCTTTTTATTTTGATTTGCATTCCCCTGATGATGGGTCATGCAGAGCATTTTTTTTTCCCCTCGTAGGCTTTTTGTCCATTTGTATG